ATACTCCATTCCAGGCGTCTCCCGAGGAGGTGGGTCCAAGTACCTGATTCGCAAGTTTGTTAAAAGCCTGGTAAACAAGCCTTAACTACCGGTTCTTGGACAAGAGAAGGGGATTAGATACACCGAGGGCGGTTTATGGCCTGTGGAGGGAATGTAGCCTATTGGCTAATGATCTGCCAATAGCGACGTGGCTTTCATCTCCAGAGCCTTGGCAAGTGTGGAGGTATTTTCTTCTTCCTTACGACAGATGGGAAATTGTCGCGGTTATCGTGGGTAGTTTGAACGGTGATTATTATGTCCTGAAGTGTGTGTGTGTGTGTGTGTGTGTGTGTGTGTGTGTGTGTGTGTGTGGTGTGTGTGTGTGTGTGTGTGTACATACATACGTTCCTCTGCGTGTGTATGTGAAGATGCCTGTGTTTGCGGTTGCCCGTTCTTGTGTAATTACCTAAGTGTAGTTACAGAAGATTAAGTGATTGATGAAGATTAAGCCACCAGAAGAGGGGGTACGGGCATGAATAACCCGCAAAAAAACTGATCTAGAACTTGCTCACATCTCAATAGCCTTCCTAGGTTCCTCCTCTGGGTTATCTCTATATCAAAACAGTTTCCACTTAGTATCTTACATGTCAGAATCATGTCTCCTCTAGTTCTTCGCTTCTCCGCTTCTTCCGTTATTTCCTCTAAAATCCTCGCGAACTCAGGCATTGAATGTTTGGTTATATACGTAGAAAATCATTGGGTTTCATACTTGTGTATGATTCAAGAGTTCTGGTTTTACACACGCTGTGTATAACCTGTGTATAACACACGGTGTGTATAACCTGTGTATAACACGCTGTGTATAACCTGTGTATAACACGCTGTGTTATAACACACCTGTGTATAACACACCTGTGTATAACACACCTGTGTATAACACACGCTGTGTATAACCTGTGTATAACACGCTGTGTATAACCTGTGTATAACACGCTGTGTATAACCTGTGTATAACACGCTGTGTTATAACACACCTGTGTATAACACACCTGTGTATAACACGCTGTGTATAACCTGTGTATAACACGCTGTGTTTAACCTGTGTATAACACACGCTGTGTATAACCTGTGTATAACACGCTGTGTATAACCTGTACTCACCTATTTGTACTCACCTATTTGTGCTTGCGGGGGTTGAGCTTTGGCTCTTTGGTCCCGCCTCTCAACTGTCAATCAACTGGTGTACAGATTCCTGAGCCTACTGGGCTCTATCATATCTACATTTAAAACTGTGTATGGAGTCAGCCTCCACCACATCACTGCCTAATGCATTCCATCCGTTAACTACTCTGACACTGAAAAAGTTCCTTCTAACGTCTCTGTGGCTCATGTGGGTACTCAGTTTCCACCTGTGTCCCCTTGTTCGCGTCCCACCAGTGTTGAATAGTTTATCCTTGTTTACCCGGTCGATTCCTCTGAGGATTTTGTAGGTTGTGATCATGTCTCCCCTTACTCTTCTGTCTTCCAGTGTCGTAAGGTGCATTTCCCGCAGCCTTTCCTCGTAACTCATGCCTCTTAGTTCTGGGACTAGTCTAGTGGCATACCTTTGGACTTTTTCCAGCTTCGTCTTGTGCTTGACAAGGTACGGGCTCCATGCTGGGGCCGCATACTCCAGGATTGGTCTTACATATGTGGTGTACAAGATTCTGAATGATTCCTTACACAGGTTCCTGAACGCTGTTCTGATGTTAGCCAGCCTCGCATATGCCGCAGACGTTATTCTTTTTATGTGGGCTTCAGGAGACAGGTTTGGTGTGATATCAACTCCTAGATCTTTCTCTCTGTTCGTTTCATTAAGTACTTCATCTCCTATTCTGTATCCTGTGTTTGGCCTCCTATTTCCACCACCTAGTTTCATTACTTTGCATTTACTCGGGTTGAACTTCAACAGCCATTTGTTGGACCATTCACTCAGTCTGTCTAGGTCATCTTGTAGCCTCCTACTATCGTCCTCAGTTTCAATCCTCCTCATAATTTTTGCATCATCGGCAAACATTGAGAGAAACGATTCTATACCCTCTGGAAGATCATTTACATATATCAGAAACAGTATAGGTCCAAGGACTGACCCCTGCGGTACTCCACTCGTAACGTCTCGCCAATCTGAGACCTCACCCCTCACACTGACTCGTTGTCTCCTGTTACTTAGGTATTCCTGTATCCAACGGAGTACCTTCCCTTTCACTCCAGCCTGCATCTCCAGTTTTTTCACTAGCCTCTTGTGTGGCACTGTGTCAAAGGCTTTCTGACAATCCAAAAATATGCAGTCTGCCCACCCTTCTCTTTCTTGCCTTATTTTTGTTGCCTGGTCGTAGAGTGTATGGTCGTAGTGTTGCCTGTGTATAACACGCTGTGTATAACCTGTGTATAACACACGCTGTGTATAACACAAGCTGTGTATAACACACGCTGTGTATAACACACGCTGTGTATAACACAAGCTGTGTATAACACACGCTGT